ACCTCCCTTAAAATGACGTAAAATAATCTTACACTAGAACAATTTACAAAATACTGAACGAGGGGTTGTCGCTACAATAGCAACACATGGTAGAATTCTTTATGCGAATTTCGTTAGCACAGTACTGTGGAGGGTAGGTAAGTGGAACCCACCACTTTAGTGAGTGTCGCTGATACAAAGACATGTTCACTAAATAATATGATCAATATATAAGGGGACCATGTTAGCCCCAAAATGTTTGGTCAAGCTCTCCCTGACGGGGACATTCCCCTGCCCTATCCTCCTATTTGTGCCACCCCTGTCTTTATCATAACTGTTTATTATGAACACATTTTGTTGGTGCACATTTGTTTCTCATTTAGAATAAAGTATATAATCATAATTATAAAAATAATATCAATATAGTATTTAAATATTAATATTAAGATTAATATTAACAATCATTTTTATTATTGTTATTATCATTATTAACATTATTATTACTATATGACTGTTATTATTATTTTGTATTATTATTGCAATGAATACGGTACATATTAAAATATAGTAACATAATAGAAATATGTATCGGTTTTTATATAGGTCTTATATAATTATATAGACATATATTTATTATAGTAGTTATTCTTACAAAATTAAGGGTAAACATACATAGAATTGGATTAATAGGCATGTCATATCATACAAGTTCAGCGTTTGAAATATCCATATGATACACAATCATTTTAGCGTGGCGTAACGACGAGTCATGGGTCCGGGGCTAGAAAGTGTCGGGGCCCCATGCATTTTAGTAATCGATATACGAGTGTCACAAAATTGGCAGAGAGGCCCTTTATACTAGAATATCAGCAATACGAACTGTAGCCGTATATCATTATATTAGTATAATTTGATTTGAATTCTACAGTATAGGTGAATTCTAGTAGGCCAAGAATTAAAAAAGGCTCTGTATAAGTAACACAGCATTATACTGGTAGCATGAGGCTTTTCCCCAGACCCATAGGCGTTACGCTACTGTATGGTATTATAAAACTGGACTTACAAATGTTATAAGATTCTTCGGTACGACGTCGTATGAGATGTTTTTCGTTGTGTTTTCGTTCTTAACTGGTCTGATATACGCTGTATATGGTAGTTTTTCGTCCTCCATTAAATGCTTTACAAGATTTCGAATATCAGCATCCACAAAATCTGGAGGAATATATATTTAAAAAATCTTTAAAAATTCAAAGCAGGTAATAACGTTATCAAGTCACATTTAGTCACATAACGGTACAATACAATGTGAGGGTGTCATTCAAAATTATTCGTGTCAGGCAGTTCAGTTGTAAATATTCAAGAAAATATTTATGAAGTCATATTTTAAATTGGTTTCGGTGTTTCTTAAAGTTTGATACCATATTTTATTAAAGGGAAAGTTTAGAGTTAATTTACATAGATTTTTAATGTTTTGAGAGACTTCTTGTAGGCCTATATCCGTTTACAGAAATGACACGAAATCCAACAACATTTATTAGCTGTTTATCTTTAGATGCAATTTTCTCTGGAGTATAATTTCATAATCTGAATACCAACGGTCTTACTTCGGTTATACCTCATCCTAGAAATTTGATTCAAAGACCGATATAAAGCTTATAATGCCATCCATTTAGATGCATCGATACGGTAACTCATATTTCATGTTTGGTACCACAAGACTCGTTCTGCAATAGGACCGAACAAATCAGAAATGTTTTGTTTAAGCTGCATCAATTTGGGAACAATTACAAAATGCTAAAGCATTGTAAAATTCATCCACTACATACATATCTTACGTTCTAGAAAACGAATTCGTTAAGTATGCGACATACTTAACCGTATCTGCATTGAGTATTATTGTGTTTGCGAAACAAAAATAAACCTGCAAAGTGGAATAATTTAAATACGGATAATATCACGTGGTACGAACCGATTAATGATGTGTGTAAATTTTAGTATTGATTTTGTAAATATTTTAACTTTGTTTGATTTGGGATTGAAAAATCATTGACTATATGTCTCATAGAAGGACAGATCGATGATGATAAGTGGGCGAGTACCAGTCGTTAACGACATGGCTATCATTACTGACCTAGGGCAAGTTATCACAGAACACATCTTGAGTGAATTTGTCCAGGGAAATGAAACACATTTATTTACGTTCAATTAGATCCAGCTCCAGTATGATTTGACGAACCCGCTGGCGGAAGAATATTGCATCGTTACGTTCATTTAGAGATTGCCGACGGCTTGACTTCTGCTTGCTCTTAATCAATGATTGTAGAAATGCAGATTAAACAAAACCGTTTAAAACACGCATTTATCACGTATTTTAGAGGAATGTGTATTTATTCCCCATTATCTCCATCTGATATTGCATATTTCATCATCTGTAGATATTAGAATTTTACAGAATCTACTCAGGCTCAATAATATCTAATTTTCCTATATTATTTTTAAGTAGGCCTACTTAGTCCTAAGGAGTATATGGCTACTAGGCCTAATAAAGTGCAAGGAAGCAACACTGTTTTGAGGCATACTTTGGTAATGAGAAGAACTAGCACTTCAATGAAGCATTTAATGATAATAAGGTTTTAAAATATATGCGAAGAATAAATGAGTAAAGAAACCGCAATGCTACTTCTGTTCACATCTGCATTATAGGGTGTAAGATTGTCACATATTTTTCCATATACTTTAATTTCATAACACTCATGTCGTCAACATAGAGGGCGCAGCGGTAGGGATTTGAAGTTTTAATCGAAAGGTTTTGAGTTCGTGCCGTACCTTGGTATACTTATATAAGTCTGAACCTACATAAATTGGCCTATGCCTATTTATTGTATATAGTAGGCCTCTTTCTGTACACGAAAATATTATAGGCAACTATCTGGTAATGGTAATATGGATATACAGAAACAACAAGCCGGTTAATGTATACATATTAATGAAACGCAAAAGAGGAGAAACTTGGTTAAGAATGAAAATAAATCAATCTACCGGAATATGGAATCAGAATATATTGCAAATACAACGAATGTCATAATCACTTGGTCACGAAGGATTTGCGATGAATCCAAGCGTCAGTTAGAGCGATTCTTTAACATGTCTGACGTCACAATTGAAATAGCATTTAATTCTCACATGGTTTGAGATCTAGATACATCTTCCACTATTTATTAGTCGGGACAGCAAGTTTGTTCTCAACGAGATACGTGGCGGTGTATACAGTACACCAGAGAAGCTTGTATTGTACTCTATAAAAGGCATGTAGAAACCCCCAGAAACAACCAAACAGAATAACGCTAAAAGTAATGAAGACGTATTGTAATATACGAGGAAGCTTACAATTGGGGATATGTACACAGACCGTGGTTAATCCCCGCTTTCCACTTTTTTAAGCTATTTTGTCGTACGTCATGTACTTGTACAGGTGTTTACTTTGAATGAATATTTTATATATATATATATATATATATATATATATATATTCGTTTATGTTTTATTTTATATTTATATATATATATGTATATATATAATGTATGTATGTATTTGTATATTATGTATATATGTATTTTTATACAACATAAATAGGGCCTATATCAAATAGTATGTAATGAATATATAAATAGTATTTGATATATACTGTATTTATATCTAAATGCGTTTTATGTAGTAGAATGGATACACGACAATTTTGTTTGACCAATTTTTAAGGTTCTCTTCGGAAACGCGGTCCGAATTTCGGTTCGGATCCGATGTGAATGCAGCTTTAATGAGGGAGGAATCTCTGATTAATTTAACGCAATTATTTTCTTTGTGTGTTTTATTCAAACAACGATATTTTCAAAATTGATATTAAAATTCCTGGTACTATTAATATCTTATTATATTTGATATTCAAAATGTCGCAATATGCGAGAATTCACAAACAATATACTCGTAAAAATTATACTGTATATAAAAGCTTTATCTCATTATCGTAGCATAAAAGGAAACCTAGACATACCGTATGCAAACCGAATAAATCTAGGCCTACCCAATTTTCAAAATAGTTTTTGGTGAAGTACGCGGAACAGAAAAAAATATAATTCTAATAATGGTGGTCAATGTAACATTGTTTTCTATGCGCTTTATGCAGTCCATAATATGGGCCTATATTATATGCCCTATGCCTACTTATTTTATATAACATATCAATGGTTTATCTTACCTGTTGCCGATATCAGCAATGCAAACAACACGGCCAAGTAGGAGACCACCATCATGTTATAACCAGGGAGTTGTTTAAATAGCTTCTCACTACCTGTGGGTAAGTAAGCAGGCTCTGAGTTAGCGAAAATAATGTGAATATATGATTCTCGGGTATAAAATTACTACATGTACAATAATTATGAAACGCGTTTATTAATTAACCAAACAATGGAATCTCGTTAGTCATATTACCACAAAAATTCAGCATCGACAAGTAAATATTTGAAGAGTTGCGGAACTAACTATTGGCGTAGTTAATTGTAGGCATCGAATCGAATTTACCGACGCGGGATACGAACCCGAGTTCTCAAACGCACAGTATGATGTATGACATGACTTCTAGTAGGCACTTGCTGCTCGAATGAATATGTTGATAATAATTCTCTGTTTAGCTCTCTAACGCTGCTCTTTCACTATTATGTAGGGTAACTGTTCTATCACAGGCGATCTTCGGTATTGTGTCCATAATTAGTCGACTGCCAGCAATTGCTCGCTAGTAGACAGATATTGCGAGCTTGTGCTATTCATACAGTCAGTTTATTTCAGAACGATGACTTTGTTGTAGCAGACACAAGTAGGCTCCGGTGGGCAAGTTCATCATACGACTGCGCCATCTTTTCAAGCTTTTCAAGATACCGCCCATTAGATGTGTTAACGATGCCGCAAAATATCACGTACCTAAAAATTTTGATAACAAACGTTGGCCGCTTAATATGCTGTCAGTTCCAACCTATAAATTGCCAACAGTGACACACAAATAAACCACTTGCACAATTATTATTAGAAGAAATAATACATTTATAATTAAGATAGATTAGACGAAACAAAAATGTTATCCGTCGTATATGTACCATAACTCCATTAGTGGAAACAATGTATGTATCGTAAATTTTTGTATAGATTTCACCAAGCAAAAACACTCAATCTATTAAGTATTTTTATATATTATGATATTACAAGAACAAATATATTACAAAAATATCTATATTAATCAAATTGTACCTCTTTTAATATTGCTTTTATTTATAAATATATACAGTATTATATTTGTTTTGTTTGTATGGTATTTTAAGATTAACAATTCCAAGTAAAAATAAATGTTGTTTTTAGGTTCTTTATAGATAGGCCTATACATTTTTAGAAAATTATTGTTTATTACTTTATGATTAATACCTTATAAGTCTATATTGCGCCAAAAAAGCATAGACCAAAAGCATGTTAAAGACAAGACACCCTTTTGGAAAACAAGTTGTCTGTAACGTTGTACTGCCAGAGGTGACGACGCTGCACACTGGTTGCTCCCAAACAAATAGGTAAAACCTGGCTCTGATGCTCCCTGGGCCCTCAATTGTCCTGGTTACTCAATTAAGTAACTTTACTTTTGTTGCTGTAGTTATTACTTTGTTAATGTTCAAACTACACACTTTGTAATGTGTAGTTAATTTGGACGGTGGTTTCCATATTTTGATTACAAAAGAGCACCGCATAATCCATAACTCGCAGCTTTATCGTGCTAAATTGCGTATGATCGTGATCCGCGACTACTCTAGTCGTGTTCACGTCGTTGCAGGAGGCTGAACTGAACCAGAGCAATTAGATAACCCCATACTTTTCCGAAAGATACATGGGTTTTTTAAAGTGCACATAAGCCAGATGTGTGAACTGAACCCCCGGTGTTGTGTCTTTATGTTAGAAGATTTCATTCTGCCAAAAGAATCTTAAGCAAAGCGACCCAGAATCGATATTGCTGTTACTAGTTAGCGCTGCCAGTGGCGTATGTAGACGTCTTGAAATGGGGGTGCTGATGGGGCGGGGGCTCGTTGATCAGAGTAGGTGCGCTAACTTGCAAAATAAGGTAATTATAGGTGATTTTTAACTATTTGCAAGTGATTTTTTTTGGGGGGGGGGGGCTGGGGTGAGTAATTTTGAAAGGGCGTGTGCGCCCACGAGCACCCCTAGATACGCCACTGAGCCGTGCCCCTGCCGCTTGAATGTCAATAGAGTTTTAAAATAACATATGTTTAACGAAAATAATTTGATATCTCATTTCCTGTAGCACTACTCCTTTAAGAGTAAGTCGTCTATCTCGTTGAGTAATAGTTCCGGTTGATAAATTCGATTTTATTAGAATTTGGGGAACAATCAGGAATGGGGAAATGCGTGTAATAACAGATCTCCTGTTGAGGTTCCCCAGCAGTTATGTATTTTAAATGGATTTATTATATCGATTTTAGTGATTATGATATATTGAATCGTTTAAATGGATGCTGAATAACTCATTAATCTCAGTGTTACACATTGTATTTTTTACAGGAAGAGTAGGCAGCTAGGGGAAAAGAACCGAAGACCAGTTCTTAAATTGTAAGCAGTTTTCCAATTTTGAATGTCAAGAGAAAGAACACCAATGCTGTGAATTCAAAGTCATAAAATAGTCATAATGTCTACTTAGATCTCTAATACTTTTTGGACCAAACTCTGACGTAAATGGTATTACTATATATCTAGATATTGATGAAATCCTAGGTGGATTCTTCATAAACGCGAATGAAGAAGCGCTACGGTAATTATTAGCGTCACTTCCGCTATTCCCTTCTATCATCATTATAAGGTCATCCTTAACCAATATGCTGATGTACCTGTACAATAACGGGCCAGTTGGATTCAATGAGAAAGGGAAGATTTTATAATCATATTCTTCAGTAACTATGCATTAGTCCTCGTTCTGTCATCATTTTCTAAGCAATCAATCAGACATTAAACATTAATCTTCACTGGAATATAAAAACAGCTCAGGTGAAGAAACATATCTGACATACACCGAACATCAGTTGACACTCAACTAGGTTAATTACGTGACTGATTGATTATAGTTATAATCGGGAAAATCATTTTAGCTTTAAGAATAGGAAACTACATAATATCCCTCCCTCTAGCTAGAAGTGCAGAAGGTTTCAAAATATGGCTGGGTGTCTTTCATAATAGGTTTATTTTACGACTAGGGATAAACAAATAACCAAAAAACTAAAAGGGAAAACAGAATTATATATTGCGTTAAAAATACCATTTAAAATAAATAAATGACTAAAGCTGAAATAAGCCATCTTATAAGTCAAACAGAGGAATATTGGCCCAATGGTTTTAAACAAAAGTTTCACCGTATTGTAATTTTCTTCTTTATACCACACCCATTGTAGTAGTTATGGTTGATGTTCACATCTGATTTGTCAGAAAAATGCCAACCGCCTCTTAAGCCGGGCACTCACTGAGTCAGACATTTTTAAAAAAACGATCCGTTGCGACGACCGTCGGGCCCAGTGAGTTGGATCGAAATGCGTTGGCTACGTTGAGACTTGGGGATAAGCCAGGCAACGATAAGCCTGGCTCAATGTTAAGTCCGGCTTAACTTTGCCGGGCGTTCAGACCATTGTTTTATTTCCTCCATGTTCAGACTAGCTGGATTAGCCAGGCGTGAGAATTTGTATACTAATGAACCGTAACCAGAAAACGAGTTTCGAAATATTGCGTGTGAAACGTAGGCCTACGTTCGCTCACAGCACACGTAATTAAATGCTGATTGGTCATTTATTTTTACCCGAGGTCAACGCGAGACCCCGCGCAGCGATTAAAGCCCGGCTTAGAAAAGTTAAGTCTGGTGGCACTATTACTATAGGAAGAAGGCCGGGTTTGAGATAAGCCAGTTAGTTCAGAAGGTATATAAACCCGGTGAGTTGAGCCGGGTTTATCCACCTCGTCTGAACTAGGCCAAAGCTAATCCTCGTAAGAGGACGACGTCTCTCTGATACACAATCTCAACCAATGACATTGAAACATATTGAAAGTGAATTATATTATATATTATACCAGTCTAACTGACGATAGCATTCATAAAAAAATAAGTCATGATTCATTTTAATTTCAATGCACCGTCTATTATGAATAATTCGACGAAACTACTTAGGCCTACGGTATACGGTACCTTATGTTAAAAGCATACATCAAAGGAAACGCTGATGACGAACCTTACATAATTATGCGCATCATCAAATATCATAAACTGAATGAAAAATCAATATGAGTATATAAAATGCCTAAATATCTTCCATTTAAAGAGTGGATGTAATGTCATCTAAAGGAGTCATTTCAGAAGTAGTCTGATGGAAAGATTTATTGATTTTCAAATCACTCTGTTGCAATAATTATGAATAATTGTAGATAAATTAGCTATTAAAATAATTTGCGTAGCAATTTTTTTTTATCTTTGTAGGCCTCGTGTACAGTTTATTTCATTCATATGAATTATGGTTTTATTATGTTCAGAATTTTAAGTTTTTAGGAGTGTATTGTAATTATTATATTTTTCTTGGTTGTATGATAAACAATAGGGAGTTTTTGCAGGCTTACGAAAACGATAACTAATACGGTTACGTCATCAATATTTTAGACAACCCTTCCCCTACAATAGCATATCTGTCACGACGTTAGCGATTCATCAGCATATTGTCAATAATGTTTTACGTACGAATGACGTTAATGACAATGACGTATTCTTTATCGTTTTCGTAAGGTTGCGAAATCTCCCTGTAGTTTATTTTATTTGATGACGACAGTTTCTTTGTTTCCGTTTTTCTTTCTTTTCTTGCTAGAAAATTAAATATATATAATAAAAAGTGGAAGTTAGAGGCCAAATACAGATTGTATTTGCTGGGGTGACGTAAGTGGCAATCGAGGACGTGTGGTCCGAAAAAGGCGGAACCTATGATCGGGAAAGGAAGGTTTTCATTGTAAAAACAGCGTGGAGGATTTAAATTCAAAGCTCCACGCAATTTTGCCCTGTCTTTGGTGACACGTTTAAAAGCTAAACATGTTTAAGCCAGAGCTAATGTGCCTAGGTTTCTGACGTGTTTAGCATTAACTGTGCTATACGTATTTGAAATCCGATGTCAAATAACTAAGCACATTTCTAAACACATCAAGTTCCTAAGCACATATATATATGTCTAAACACGTTTAGCTTTTAAGCGTCTCACCAAAGACAGGACAAGCTTTGCGTTT